TTTATTTCTGGCACTTTTTATTGGTTTAGCAAGAGCGCCAAACATGTTACAGTATATACACCGAGGGAGCGAACACGAGCTGGAAGGACAATAAGTGATCAGGACTCAGACACAACTCTTCGGTGGGCAACACTTGTCATTTTCCATTTCTAGTCTTTGAGGTTTAGTACACTTAAAAACCTTAAAATTTGTAAAATATAATTTCCTAGGATAGTACATCTGAAGCTTATATTTATTGGTTTTTGTTGTTGGTGGTGGTGATTTTGTTTTTTATTTGATTTGTTTACACGTTCATTCATTTCATTTCAGTAAAAGGGATTTCATCGTTTGTCTTGGAGATAGAAATGATCGATGTCTTGTTTGTTCCGATCCTATCTCGAACATTATGAACCCTTTTATTCATCTCCGTCTACAGTCGTTGGGGGTTCAGAAACACCTGAATCCCATCTCTACTTTAAGAATTTATTTGACATGAATCGCATAAAAAGCCTCTTCTATTTTTTTTAAATCTTAACATGCACGTCTTTTCATAACTTGAAGACTGAGACTAATGAATACTCTATGTTAGAATATGCTTGTGGAAAAGAGTAGCTTTGAAGACAGATATTAGCAGTGCCCTATCATCAACATATTTTTTTTTCTGTAACCCTGTCGACTTTTGTCCAGTGTGCTAAATTAAAGTTTAGAATGCTTATATAAATGTCTATCATTTTCCGCCAGGTGCTAAAAGCTTTGAACCTACATCACAAAAAACACTCTCGGACACGGAGTCACTCTTTGCTAATCCTTACTAAAAAAAGAAAAAAAAAGACAACTGTCAGTATTAATGTCAGTATTAAAATAATGCGAACATACACAAGTAAATGCAAGCACACACACATACTTACACAAACTCACACGCAGTCGCACAGAAAACACGCACGCCCATACACAAACAGACACACACACACACACACACAGACAAGCACACATACCGAGACACTGAATTCCCACGCATGCACAAGCACCCACAAGCAAAACCCCAAGCAAGAAGTCCTTCATCCAAACCTTAAAAAACAGTTCTGTCTCATAATCATCCCTCACGGTTACTTTCTAAATTACAGCATTATGTACTAAGTCCTATTTACCTTTCTTTTTTTTTATCTAAAAAAAATATGTTTTGCAATCACATGGCTTATGAGAACAGATATTGATGGGCACAGAAAACTGAAAAAAAAACTAGGAAAAGATTTAGCCTCGAAGGTATTGGAAAACCTCTCGGCTTCCTTTCCATTCGTTACACCTATATATAATATCTTATTTTTTTTGTTGTACAGGGCCAAAAAATATCTCGGAAAGGATGACATATAGTACATTCAAACAGGAAACTACAGACAATACTACAAAAATCACAATTATTATTATTATTTCTTTTTTTTTGAAGTCTTTGGTTAAAAGGTCTTTAGCCAAGTACAACAAAGAAGGTAAACATGATGTCCTCTACAGTTGGATGGACAATAATAAATACACGAGTTAATACTCATAAAGTCATCAACTGAACTCCATTGACCAGTCATCCTCATAGTCATCATATTGCTCTCTGTCATAATTCATATCCATTAGAAAAAAAAATAGAGAAAAAGAGAGAGAGAAGGAAAGAAATACTTGTTGGCATCTCTCACTCTCTCTCATTAGGACTATATAATCGAGAAATAATCATTAGGGGTAAAATCAACAATTTTCATTTTATATCATATTCTCTTCTGTTTTTATTTGATGTTCTTTTAACGAAATTGAGATAAAGACAATGTTTTTGTAGTATATTTTCTCTTCTTCCTTTTTCTTTTCATCTCTTTCTCTTTTTTTCTAATGGAAATGCTTAAGAAAAAGATTCAACAAACACATGACAAGTGTGAGGTGTTTGATCAAAGGTATATCGGTGTTTAGTTCAAGAATCAAGAATTCAAGACCTCAAAACTTCCAATAAAGTCGAAATTCTCAAAGACATCACAAACTGGATAATGACCTATTTCCTAATAAAAAAAAAATGATAATTAAAAAAAAAAAGTTCAGAGGAGAGAAACACAGAGAAAAATAAAGATAGATAAAAAAAAGAAATAGGGAAATACAAGTAGAGAGATAAAGCGAGGAAGTGAGGAGGACAAGATTACGAAACACTTTTTTTTTTCCTTTTTTTTTCTTTCTTAAACATTGGTCAGCGTCATCAGTACAGAGATTCCTTAATAAGACGCACAACAACACACTCCTGTGGTGCAAACCGAGTGCAGAAAAAAGGAACAACAAAACTAAACGAAATCAAAAATCAAAAACGAAAACCCTTTACGTAAAATAGCCTAAACAAAGTAGAATAAAAAAAAATCAAATCCATTTTCTATTGATGGCAAACTTTCTTTCATCTCTCTCTCTCTCTTTCTCTTCCTCTTATCCGTAAAGAAGTCATTAAGAGATGAAAGCGCAGAGACAGCTCATTAGAATTAGACTGAGCAAACAGCAAGCGAATATATTTGCATATCCTCTTCATTTACACCACAGGAGGTAAATATATATATATACTATCAGCCTTTATGTACAGCATACAATGTAAATAAAACATATCTTTATTTTCTACCTTCTTTTGAATTGAAACATAGTAGCTCATGTCATTTTATTTTTTTTTTAAATGCTACTCTTAAAGTAAAGGAAAGAAATGTTCCTTTATCTAAAATACAACTTACATTCATTATTTTTGGTGTAAACATGAATTTTGTTTCCAAGATTTTTTTTTCACTCTTTTTATTTACAAATTCATAATAAAGAATGAATACCTTCCTACTTTCCCTGGGAAGAAAAGAAAGGACAAGAAAATTAATGAAAGTAGGAAAGAGGAGAGAGAGAGAGAAAGAAAAGACAGAAAGGAAGAGAAAAAGAAGGAGAGAAAGAGAAGATAGAAAGAGAAAGAGACGACAGAAGGAGACGAGAAAGAGAAAGGGAAAGAAAAGACAGAAAGGAAGAGAAAAAGAAGGAGAGAAAGAGAAGACAGAAAGAGAAAGAGGCAACAGAAAGAGACGAGAAAGATAAAGAGAAGGAGAGAGAGAGGAAGAGAAAGAAGACTGAACTCCCAAGCAAGAAAACATTGCAGAAGACGAAGAGAAGAAATCATGATTTTTTTTTTCTTTCTTTCTTCATCATCTCAGTAAGCACAACTTTTCACTAACATGGTATTACAAGATATAATGAACTTTCGAATAAAAGAAAACATCTCACGAAACATCTTCATGAACCAACTATATTTAGTATGAAGCAATCCACGCCCCCCTTCTTTCGCGTGAAAATTTCCTTTTCCTTTCACAAAATTCTCTCTTCTTTATTTTGTGGAATAGAATCAGGTTGGCCAAAAAATAAAATAAAAAATTTCCTTCCCGTTCTTGGGGGATTTCTGGTCATCTAAAGTTCAGGCTCAGTTTTTGTTTAAATAAGACTACAAACAGGAGACCAGAAAACGCCCACGAAACGATGGCTTTGATTTTTTTAGGCGATTTAAGAAAAAGAAGAAGAAAAACTATTTAGCGTTTTCTTTTCTTCCCGCGAAATATTTTTGGCGTTTTTTTCCATCTCGCGAAAATTCAGAAACTCAGGTTTTGTTCTCAAGAGGTGCCATGTTTATTTGTTTGTTTTTCTAATGCATTTTAAAAACAATTATCTTACACAACAAATGTATGCCATTACACAAATAAAACAAGGAAAACAAGCAAAACGTTATCAATACTGAACATGAGACATTTTGATCAAATTTCATAATTTTTTTCCTTTTTTTTAAATCTCCAGTTGTATCGACAGATATATCAATATCTACTTCATCTAACATGTGGAATGTTAGTACAAATATCAGTCAACTGACTCACTGAATATCATTTAGAAATACACGATGAATAACTACAAAACAGCTACAAAAATGACAGAGATTTTACACAAACAACAAGGTGATGCTGAGTAATTATGTAAGTTTTCTCTACCTTTATTTATTATTTTATTTATTTATTTTTTATATGAAGGGGGGGGGGGTACTTTTTTGAAGGAAGGGTAGGCATGGGATTGGGGGGGGGGGAGGGCCAGGTAATTTCGTCTATTTATTTTAGTAACTATATTTATTTTATTTTATTTTATTTTTTTTTTGTGAGCGTTTCGAGTGTATAAACATATTTTGGATCTAATCTATATATATATATTTTTTTTTACTAAATGTGTACATGTGATACATTATTTAGTCAAAATATTAACTGAGTGTGACTTGGCGTTTAATGTTTGAATATTGTTTTTCTATCTTTCCTCTGAGAAAAAAAAATTGCTAAAATGCTATAGAAAATATTGGTTCTCATTTCCTTAATGAGATAAATACAAATAATCAACGAAAGCGTAATTCTAGAGAGAAAAAAAATAGTGATCGTGTTATGTCGTGAAACTAGTCTAACAACAGAAAAAAAAAACATAAATTAATTTCCACAAGACATTTTTTTCTTTCTTTCTGTCTTTCTTTCTTAATCATCTTCAATGAATCAAAATCTCACGCCACTGTTGCCATACCCCCCAAAAAATGCATAAAAAAAAAAAAAAAAAAAAATGGAACAGAGAGGCTTACAACGCATCATCATCTCCGCCGAACGAGGACGGAATCGCTCACAAGAGGGAAGCCAAGAGGAACACCAGAGGAACCAAGGCCTGGGCAGTGGCGGAGAGGCTGTTCGCGGCCGAGATCTGACTCTGGGACTCGTGGATCTTCTTGGTTCTTTCCATAAAGTCGGAGGAGAAGTCAGAATAGCCGGCGGCGTTCTTGGCAGAAGCTCGCAGGACGTAGAGAGTGTCCCCGGCGAGGCTGTTGATGACGTAGGGCTCGCCTGGAGGAGGGACACAGAAAACGTGAGTTCGTCGAGGGGTAACTTGGGGTTATTGGCCGATGTTGCTGTTGCTGGTCTGTTGGACTGGTTTTGGGATTTGTGAGTGGGTACTGGGGTGGAATATATTAC